ACTTTTGGAGTGACGACAGAAATTTATAGTCACTATCCGATTGCTGTATAAAATAAACTTTATTTCTGTATAATACTTTGTAAATTATATTTGAGATCTAAATCACACTATAAAGATCATATAAGATGAGTTCAATTTAAAAAATTGATAAAAATTAAATTTATAATATTCTAATATGAAAATTATGCTACACCCGTTTAGTTTATTATTTCTCTCAAAAAATTGAATCCTTAACGCCAAAGGTTCCCACATTTTGACCCGATATAGCATTTGCGAGAATGTAAATCATTATAACACAATGACTTTACAAACAGGATCAAAATGTCGGCATACAAGAGATTTGCCTATTTTAAATATAATCCCACATTATCATTGCTAAATTTAAACTTTAATTTTTTTTTTTAAATACTGCTTATTAAACTAGTGAACTAAACTGTTCGAACAACGTTTAGTCATTCCGTTCGGGGCTGGGGGTGTCAATTTTGCGTCACTCGCGCAGGCGGGCGACCCGTTGTATAAAAGTGACATTTCACTTTCCCCAACGGCTGGTAATAGTAGCGGACCAGATTTTGATCTGCGTGAAGTGCACGTACACCTTTACTTTACATTCAATTTTCTCAAGCCCCAATTTCAATGAAAAAATTATACTATCCACTAAATATTTCCTAAATATAAAATTTCAATTTGAGAGAATTTTTATGGTACTCAACGACATAAATGACATATTATATCTTAGAGCATCCACATAAAAAAAAAAAGAATTGGGAATAATGTCATATACTTTTACTTAAGTAGAATTAATAACAAGTGTGGGGAAGAATTAAAATGGGAAAGAATTAACCTTTAAGGGGTTGGGAGAATGTCAGGAAAAAAAAAAGACCACATGTTGTGCGCACACAGGCGCGCCTAACCCTACACACACACACACACACACACACACATATATTTTAAAATTCAGTTTTGTTTTTGTTTTTGTTTTTTTTTATATATATTTTGTTTTTTTTTTTATTTTTTTTTTCTCTCCTCTCCCATATTCTCTTTCCTAATCACTCTTATATTCTCAACTGATAATGATGCTCTTATACAATTATAAGCTAAATGATTGTTAGCTGTTAGCTGATTGAGTTAATCAGAAGGTATAACTAGTTGATAACATTAACTAATTGTAGAAAAGTGTTTGGTAAATTAACTGTTAGCTGATAGTTGTTTGATATAATTTTTTTTTCTAAAAATGCTAATTGAAAAAGTTGTTTTGAGCAGCATTTTGAAGTTACAAAAAGTCAATTAACTAAATACTTATATTGATTTTTAATCCAAGTCAAACAGTTAATAGTGGTCAAATCAGCCAAAATTGACATATAAACTAACTATTTTACCAAATAGACAGACCATGTCAATATATATAATTTATTTGTATATTTTGTTCATTTAATGATATTTCTAACTTTATTTTCATATTTATTAGGTATAAATGTATAATACGATGAATTAATTGAATTGCATTGTGATTTATGATTTTTTTTTTTTTTAAAAAAAATTGTAGTATATATAGTATTGCACCTTTTGTTGAATGAAGACTAATATACTATACTTTCGTGATGCACTTTATTTCAGCCATATGATCGATCATTATGTTCCAAGTTTAAATATTTAATTAATAATTGAGTGATATATGCACACCACCTACCATCATTTCCTTCATTTCAAACTTTTGAATTTGATACATCCACTATGTTAAAATCTATACTTTATCCAAGTAAATACATATTTGATCACAAGAGAAATCTGTAATCAATACTTGAGAATGTGTAATAATTCGAAACTCTTGTATAATCTCTTGTAGGAGAGGTAAATAATATTAGGAAGACCTTGTGCAACGAGCTTGACTAAGAGGGTGCGATGAGCTTGATCCAGAAGGCTGATGTTGACAGGAATTGAGTTAGTGACCTTTTTTTTTTTCAGAACAAGAATTATAACAGATTATCATTATCTCGGATGTCCATCCCTAGACAGTGACAATTGAAGAAGAATTTATCATTTTCTCAAATAAACTAAAACACATATGAACAAAAAATAGAAATAAAAGTAATAAAGTGAGAAGTATAATTTGATTAATTTCATGTCTTTATTGTACCTTGAAAGTTAACACATGTTTACAAAGAATAAACGACAAATGAAAAGCATCCTAGAAGTTTACTAAATTTTAATATGATGAAATTGAGCATATATAAATTATTTCTTAAACGACACATTAGTCAAGTTGTTAGGTTAAGAAGACAGGTTGTAGTGGTGACCCACTATGAGATGTACAAATGGCATAAGGCCGGCCTGCAAGGCCAGCAATAGTTATGCTGTGCAACCGAATGTACTATGCGCATGGTGCATACGGTTCAAAACGACGTCGTTTTGATTAAAAACGCGCGTCCCACTTTAAAAAAAAAAATCAGGTTCGACTCTCAGCAATAGCATTATTGTGGATATATAATTATGAAATTGTGGATATATAGTTATGAAATTGTGGTTATATAGTTATGATTTTATGGATATTTAGTTCATTCATTGTGGATATTTAGTTCAATAATATATTGTGGATATTTAGTTCATTCATTGTGAATTTTGACTTCATTCATTCATTCATTGTGGATTTTGACTTCATTCATTCATTCATTGTGGATTTTTACTTCATTAATTCACTGTGGATATATAGTTATGAAATTGTGGATATATAGTTATGAAATTGTGGTTATATAGTTATGAATTTATGGATATTTAGTTCATTCATTGTGGATATTTAGTTCAATCATATATTGTGGATATTTAGTTCATTCATTGTGAATTTTTTACTTCATTCATTCATTCATTGTGGATTTTTACTTCATTCATTCATTCATTGTGGATTTTTACTTCATTCATTCACTGTGGATATATAGTTATGAAATTGTGGATATATAGTTATGAAATTGTGGTTATATAGTTATGAATTTCTGGATATATAAAAATGCTATTGTCGGGAATCGAACCTGATTTCTTCTTTTAAGTGGGACGCGCGTTTTTTTTAACCAAAACGGCGCCGTTTTGCAACCGTATGCACCTTGCAAGGTGCATTCGGTTGCACAGCATAATTTGCGCAAGGCCAGTTGTATATATACAGAGTATAATAATGCTTAAAATAGTTAATTACACCCTTAATCCAGACAGACGACCTTTTCTTAAATTAATTAACCTCTGCTGGTATTATTGATTAAACCCTTTTATGATAAGGATTTAAACTATCACCATTATTCATGCTTAAATAATTCAAACCCTCAGCTCTCATGTGGTAGTGTAAATGAGATGACGTAAATTTTTTCCTGTTTAATAAGAGATTTCGAGTTTGAGTCATTTCTTTTAAAGTTCTACTCGACACAAATATGAATAGTTTCGGTGTGTGAAATTCTAGTGTATTCTAACTAAAGAAACCAGGACTACGTGGTCTAATGGTACCCGGGTTGGACTTCCATTTGGAAGATTATTATGAGTTCGAGCCTCAGTGGAGGCGTTATTAGTTCTTTGTGTTTCAGTAGGTTGAGAAAGTATATGAACAGATACTACAATGTAATAGAGCCAGTAGCATTCAAAAAAAAAAAAAAAACTAAAGAAACTTGTAGTTTGATCCAAAAAATAATTGAAACCCCGTCTAATTGTACCAACACTTTTTGGTTAAGGCCATGCAAGATTGAATTTGGTTAATTTGGAAAGTCGAGACTAAAACAAATGTAACCCTTGCCGGTGAAAGGGATTGGTAAACCACATGTTATGCTGCCTACCTTATGAAAAACTGGTTCAAAAATAACTCCAGTTAAGCCTCGTTAATCGAACCAGACACATAAAATAAGACGGAGTCAAGTCTCGTTAATCGAACCAGACACATAAAATGAGACGGAGAGAGTATGTATTTATGTGTTTTTTTTTGTAATAATGCTCTAAGTTGAGTGAGATTTGTTTCCATATAATATCTCAAAGCATGTTCTTTACCAATTAAATAACATTTTGTCATCATTTATTTTTAAAAAATATTAAAATTAAAAGAGAGAGAGAAAAAAAAAAAAAAAAAAAAAAACATTTTTGTGGTATGTTTCCGCTATATATATACCCCAAACGGCCCCAAACACCGCACCAATCACTCTTCAGGCCATCCATACACTCTCTGCCAAATATTCATCTCTCTCCTTCTTCCTGTTCATCTCAAACAGCAGAGAGATACAATGGAGGCCGCCATGAACATGAAGCTCTTCCTAGTCGCATTGGTCATGATGGTGATGGCACTCTCCGCCACCGCCGCCGACGGTCCTGCGCCGGCTCCGGCCTCCGACGCCGCCGTCTTCCTCCCCGCCTTCCTGGCCTCCTTAGCAGCACTCGCTTTCGGTCTTCTTCTCTGAAGCTCATCTCATCACCATGGCCGTACAGTTCAGTTCCTCTGAGTTTTATTTGCATTATTATTTTTAAATTCTAAATTGTTGTGGCTTTAATGGGGTTTTCTTTTTTCCTTTTAATTTTTTATTTTTATTATTAATGTAATAATTTGGTTATTAATGTATTGTGTTTGGTGGAGTTTATGTATATTTCTTTTTATTTTTTTGTAATGTATTTTTATAATTTAAATTTTATATTTAGATTATTATAAGAGATGTTTGACTTGTGTGTTCTATTTTTTTAAATTGTTTTTCTATATTTTGAGTGAAAATATAAAGAAAATTCAGTAAAACATGACAACAAATAATTAAAAAAAAAACAAATTAATAGGGATTTAAGGCATAATTGAATGTTAATTAATCAATTTATGATAGACCGAGTTTAACTTTTATATTTCCATTCATTAGAGAAGATAAAGACATATCGTCTATATTAAATTGTATAAAAATCAAAGTGCGTGTTCGTATATGCACTATTCTCATAATCAATATCTGTTTATAATAAAGTGAGACTTATTTTTTAATATTCATGTTGATGAAAAGTACTACAAAATTACATTTGTCGAGAGACCAAATGACACCAATAATATAATTAGCTATCAAGAGATGTTTAAGACCACTTGGTGGAGAATCAAGAACATGTACAGAGACCCTGAACGGGGTGGGTGAATGGGTGGAGCATGATTCTAGGATAAAATGTCATGAGTGAGTTTGATTCTTGTTAACACCATCTCAATTGAGCCCATCACATTATATTCCTAATACAGTATATTTTTAATGTATGATTTGTTAATTATTACACCAGAGCGGAATTTATCCAATGCACATCATCAAGAAAGAAGATATACAGATGCCCAACGAATATAATAGAGCGATATTTGAATTGGTTTGTGAGGTTTTACAAAATTAATGTTTTAAGTTTGATTCTTGATTGAGTTTTAGAAGAACTAAATTATTTATTAAAATTTTGACTACTTAATAAATAAGATAGTGTTGTAGGGTGAGAAGTCATTGGAGAGGGACAATTTTGGTGAATCCTATATTATTTTGTTTGTTGCGACATTGTATCAATTGCTTCTCTTGATGTGAATTCTCACTTGTATCTCACCTAAAATTCTAAACCAAACAACTACCTTAGTTTCCACTTTCTTCAAGAAAGTAGTTTCCACTACATTGCTTTAGAAAAAGTTTAACTCTGATCCATTCATGAGACTTTACTATGTCTAACTATTAAAATTTTATGAAAAAGATAAGTTATAAATGTGTCTCAATAAGTCAGTGAATTTAATATACATTATTAGTGATAAAAAAATAAAAAAATAAATAAAAGAGAGAGAGAATTACAACTTTAATTTTACGACTAGGCTACTAACCTGAAAATTTGTAATTTTTACAAATCAATCATAATTTCTCAAAATTTTAAAAATTTGTGACAATTTTTTTTTTTTTTCTAGAAAGACTTTAAATTACTAAAGAATCAGATGAAATTAGACAGTTGGAGTATGACATGATGATAAGATTCTATATGCCATCACACATTCACACATCTCTTCTTCAATGATGTATCAAAACTATACTTCTCTACCTGCACAACAACTTCATTAATTAATCTTAACAATAAAAGAATCAAACCTAAATGCAATGGGAAAACATCATTATTAAAGATTAATCCCAACGACCACATGGCTGGAACAAAGAGGATTAACAATAGGTTTTGCTTTGCTAACAACAATAGAGTACAAGATTCGAATTTTACTAATGATGACAAAAAAACCTATGAAATTGATCTTATTGCGAGTATTAGTGTACAAGTATTTAAGAGTTGTAGGCTATTTGAAGCACATCCTGCAATTTAATTCCTTCACCAATTTCAAGTGCATATTAACGGTGAAGCGCCATCCCATCAAGTTTGGGATTCAAACCTAAAAAACACCCCAGTAAAAGAGTTTCACCCTCTCTTCCGCTCAATGTGACAGACACCTTATAAGTACTATGTATTGGTTCTCTCACTTTGGACCGCTAAATCACTGTGATTTATCCTTCCACTTTTCTGTTTGCAATCTAGGGTGTGGGGGCATTAGGGCCATTGCAACTTAAAAGAGCATTAAGAACTTTTGGATGAGTTAATGATAGTGTTGTAAAAAGAATTAAGGGATTGATTAATGGGAAGACAGATAGATTGAGGAAGATGGTAAGTGGGAGTGCACATGGGAGGGGCAATGAGAATACAACGTAACATCATCTGCATCAGTGGCAGGAGTACATGGTCGGTTGGTCGGAAACTTTGTCCCTAACTAATAATTCGCCCCACCATCATATATTATCATGTTTTTTCTTCCTCTTAATTTTATGTTATGGGAGTGTCAAAGGGCAACCAGGAGAAGTGACAAATTGTCTGCTGAGCCATTAAGTTACCGTGATTTATATGATAAATTATATCGTGCATCATGGTGCATAATGCATTGTGCGTCCTAAGAGTTTATATGTATTATATCAAGAGTTTATGTGTATTATATTAAGAGTACAGTTTACGTGTATTATATTATAAGAGTTTATGTGTATTATGTATTATATATTAAGATTATGTGTATTATGTCAAGAGTTTGTGTATATTCTACTCTACAATTATATACATACGAAACATGAAATTTTTAGAGTGCACAATACATTATGCGCCCTAGTGCACAATATAACGATTGTCTTTATATCCTTTCAAATACTTTGTTGGGTCAGATGTGGAGGGTCCTTGGGTTAGAGATTCAACCTTTTATGAGAAGATAGTAATTTATTATGAGATAATTGGGTTTTAGGTAAGATTCAACACAGAAGTACTCTACTCAAAAAATAAAAATAAAAGTGAAAATCCGCAACCATTATTCAATGTTGTGCACAGAGTGTGCACTGGGTTATCCCGTAAATTACACAAAAAAGATAAATCGAAAAGATGCTAACAAGAATCAAACTCGTGATTTTTAGGTATGAGAATCATATTTCACCCACTTGACCACCCCTTTCAGAGCAAGTGATAAAATTTTGAAGTATAATATCAGAGTGAACTGAGACAATGTCTGGGCAAGAATGGCCAAAACAATAGTCTACATGTTCCAAAAGCTTATATCATTATCATGTAATTATTCATACCCTGTTCATCATCACCATCCACATGATGTCCAAAGGACAAACTGTTTTTACATTAACCACCCAGAAAATTACAGCAAAATTCACATGTAACCCTATTTGGCTATGGTGAATATAGATATTCTGAATGTTATTTACAGAATCTTCATGATCTACTCCCCTCTAACCCTTAATCTATAACATCTCCTCCTAAACATATTATCCTGCAGATGATACCACCAATCTGCAGGCTTCAATGGTGTATATTTCAAGTTACAGCTAATTCTACAAGGGTGGAGTACAAAAAAAGTCAAAAAAGAGTTCATCCATAACTTCCCATATGTTACATTTTTCTGTATATCCTAAACTTGGGCCTTCTCCGGCAGCCGAGAAACTTCCTTGTCGGCAAAATGGAGCAGCCTCCGAAGTCTCAACACCATGTTGCAGTGAAGAGGGAGGGCGGATCGCCTTTCCAGGTAGGCGGGGCTTACGGTCATCCACGACAGAGCGTGGAGCTCTGCCGCTATGTTCTCGAGAACCAGGTGGGTCTCGGTTTCAAAGTCCCGCGTTTCTGAGTTCAATCCCTTCCCTCCCCCGGCTTTGCTGCCGCCCTTCAACGCTTTCTCTTGGGGGGCGCGGTTGCCTCCGTAGTAGTCGACGAGGCTGACCGAAAGAACCGAAGGCCATTCTTCTTTCGAAATGTTCCGGGCGTCCCTCCTCATCGAAGGTACGGCTTTCGAAACCACAAAGCCCGTGGACAGAGGGACTGCGGAGCCTTTACTGTGGAGAAGATGCGCCAATGGCGGGGACTCGGCGGTGAGACATGTCGGGAGCTGAAGAATCGTGGGCGGCAGGAAGCGCATGTTGGGCGACGGAATGAATACATAGGACGAAGAAGTAGACGAGAGCGACTTCACGGGAGTATATCCTTCGAGATAACTCGGCTGCCCTAAAACGCCACTGCTTTGATTCGCCCCTTCGAAAATTCGAAAGACGCTACATTAGAAGGTAGTCGGGATTTGAAGGACCATAAACATTACAAAAGATAGAGAGATACCTTGAGACGCCGATTCTGCTTGAACCACGAGTTGTAACGAGTGATCAATTGAAACCGAGACGAAACTAATGCTTTGGACCCACTGAAGTAAACCTCGGGAATTATCCACGATAGCGTGCCCGCCAATTAGCTGCTGCCTTGCGTTGGGCTGTACCAAACCACCTTTAATGAACGCAGAAGCCTTCGAGTGGGGACTATACAGCGGGCTAGGGGAAGACGGTAGCGCTCTCTCCTGTATTAGATTCATTTCCTGCTGTTGCAAGGAAGTCCCATTGCTGCTCGGAGTAACCCCGTCAGGTACAGATCGTCGGAGTTGTAAAGACCACTTTTTCACCTCGGCACCCCCAACAGCATATAGCGCTTTCTGCCATTCTGCACATAGCCACATTGTTATCAGCACGGGATGATCGATAAAAATATTGCAAATATCAAAATAGTAGTCCAAACAAGTAGCAGACATGGTTGCAATAGGCGCTAGTCGGGCGGTAGAGTAGCGCCTAGACAGCCTAGGCAGCTAACTAAAAAGAAAAAAGAAAAACAGTGCACGTGTATAGGTGTGTGTATATATATATATATATATATATATATATATATATATATATATATATAATGAAAAAAAATTAGCAAGGCCGAGTCGGCCAGGTTAACTTTGCTAATTCGACCAAAATGGACGAGTTAACTCGGCCGAGTTAGGCGTGCCTATATATATATATATATATATATATATATATATATATATATATATATATATATATATATATATATATATATATATATAATGAAAAAAAATTAGCAAGGCCGAGTCGGCCAGGTTAACTCTGCTAATTCGACCAAAATGGACGAGTTAACTCGGCCGAGTTAGGCGCTAGGCAGGCGCCTAGGGGGGAAATCGCCACTGCCTAGGGGTGCTTAGTGCCTAGGCAGGCGCCTAGACCGATTTTTGCAACAGTGGTAGCAGCTACAACATGAGCCATTATTAAAGATCAAAGTTTTTACCCTGGCACTCGAGCTCGAAGAAGCATCCTATGCGTGCAATCACAAAGTCTCGAGGATTTGCAATGGAAGTGTCGGGGGCACACGCCTGAAGTATCTGACACCCTTGCTGCAAAATTTGGACGAAAAGAGATTGTAGACCCTTTGTATCCTGCCTGCTACTTATTCCTCCAAAGGGATGTATGTAACTGTCGAGCAACTCTCCCCTTGAATCGGTCCATATGCATACTAGCCATCGCCAATCCTCGGTCCATCCATAGCAACAGTGCAGCTTTTGGTGGCAAGAACCAGAGCCATCTGATTCCGACATTTCGGGCATAGAGCTAACATCTCCGCTTCCACTTACACCATCATCCAACAAAAGTTTTGAAGAATCAGACGCAAGGTTCCCAGA